GAAAACTTGAATTGTTTATTGTTTCAAATTTTTTAAATAAACAAAAAATATTTCCTTTACACACCTGCATCGGTTTGAATATCTGGCTGTGTGTGAGAAAGATGTCTTCGAAGTGTAAAAAATTACATTATCAACACATTGTTAAAATAAGCTCTCCTAATGAATAGCAAAACAAATAAGTAAACAACAACAGCAACAATAACAACACCACTCGAACAAAAGTTTCTAATAATGTGAACATAACGACGACTGTCACAAAATTCATAACAAAAATTAAACGAAGAAAGAGAATTGGGAGGGTCTACAGGGAGGCAGAGGAGAGAGTTTATTAAAGCACTGACGAAGGTGATGCTGATGCTGACGACATTTGCATACATCTAGTTATTTTTACCTTTACTATGAAATGCTATTTCATACGCCCTCCTCTTGCCCCCCTGATTCAGGGTCTCAACTTTGGCTCGAATTGTTTGGGCAAAACTTTTGCCTTCTCTCCATTCATTCATTCATTTGCTCATTCACTTATGACAATGGAGTTCACCAAAGTTTACATATGTCAAGTGCAGCACACACACATAACCTAGACTATTTTGCATAGGAAAATATTTAAAATTGTGGAATTTTATCAGGGGAGAGAAGGGGTTTTCAATGTATAATAATAATTCCAAAAATAAAACAAAAAATTGAAACATACAAAAAAAGTAATTCCACAAAAGGGTCACTTGGTTGGTTCATTTCGTCTTTTGTAATGACAAATGTCCAGAAAATATGAAACTTGTGGTCGTGTCGGTCAGCAGCAACAATAAAGTAATTATTTTTGTATTTCATTAAGGACATGGGAAAATTTACGAAAATTTAATCATAAACAAATATTATTAAAAAATCACAATAAGAAGAAAGGAGTGAAAGAATTATTCAATAAAACTTTTTAATAGAATTCATTGTAAAGTACAAGGGTATTGTAATGGAATTGGGGACTTTGTTGGAAAATAGTTACAAATTTATATGCTAATATTTTATAAAGGTGACAATATTTAATTTATAGTTAAATTCATATGGCGTCCAAAAATATGAAAAATTGGCTATGGTTTTCCGAATTGTTTCAAAAAAAAAGATATTCTTGGAATGCAACTATAAACCTATATTACCTCTCAAATATCCCGATTATTTTAAAAGATTCAGTTTCGAGAAATCTATCGATTTTAGGAGCAATATTATTTTAATAAAATTTTTTTCCCATTATATTCCAATAATTGGTTTGAAAAAGTGTCCTTCACACATACATTCGAACCCTAATATTGATAAAAAAATGTTTATTCAAATTGCTTGTTATTAATAAAAACAAGTTAAAAAGTATCAGTCGGTTTTGCCGCCAGATGTATATCCTCAGCCAATGTTCGATTGGTGTGATTTCTGTTATGGTTTTTGAAATTGTTGACCCTCTATGTAGTAGGTTCCGAAGGAATGGGCCAATATTATCCATGTTGTATAGGTCCTAAATAAACATGATATAAATATTACGAAGCGCCAGGTTTGGACTATGTTGGTTACTTCCTACACTTTATATGAAATATGTGAACGTTTTGCCTTTTAAAATCTCCAACCCTTTATAGGGAGAGGTAGCAGAATAAATTTATTTATAACATTTCTTGTGATCATAGAAATATTGAAATGTACCAAGTCTGAAGGAAGTCGGATATTAATTTCCCTTTCAAAATGTTGACCCTTTGTGGTGAAGGAGTGAGCTGATATATCCCATCTTCACACCAGATCTTGGGTTAAGGAAAATATTGTGATGTGTGAAATTTGAAGTCAATCGGACTCTTATATCACATGTTAGAAGATATAGAATTATTGAAAATTTTGACCCTTTATGGGGGAGGTACTTGATGGAGTGGATCGATATTGTCCACTACAGAGTAAGCACTGATGGAAATATTAGGATTTGCAAAGTTGGAGCAAAATCGGAGCATTTTTTTTTTTTTTTTTTTTTGGAAATTTTGACATTTTTTGTGAAAGAAGGAGTGAACCGATATTGCCCATCTCCGAACTTGGTAATAATATTACGATATACGAAGTTTGGATCAAATAGGATAGTCTCTTCGAGAGTTATCATGCGCACCTGCCAGCCAACCAGACGGACGAACGGACATCACTAGATCGACTCTAAATGTCCTGAAACGGATTTGGTCCAAAGAGACCTGAGGGCTAAAACTCTTATTTCGATGAGACACGTTTTGGCCGTATCAAATGTTATATACCCTCTCTAGCCATATGGCCGAGGGTATAAACAGAACTTAAAATTTAGACCATTTTAAACAACAAATAGGATACACAAGGTATCAGCAAAATACCTATAAGTGTTGCCATGTTTGCAAATTATTTCTCCTCGTTTATTAATGATTAAACATATAATCTTTTGAGAAAAATGCTTCCATGGGAATAGAAATCCGCGCGGATATTCCTGATTAATAATAAGTACCTTCCTGAGATAATAAGTACCTTTCTTTTGAAACTCGTTGAAAAAATCTCTCAACTTCTTTGAAATTTCTTGGAAAATATTATTGAGCAGCTCCTTAAAAGTTATTCCTTAGCAGTTTCTCAAACAGCCCTCTTACTGTTGTAGTTTCTTCGCCTTCTGTAAACAATCTCAGCTCCTAAAATTCCATTACAATTCCTTTGTTTTCCTTTCAATAGCACAGATCTATCCCAACAAGTATTAGCTTGAGTAAGGTCAGTGCCATGGCATAAACATTACACAAGAATTTATAGCTGCTTCTCTTCTCTTCTCTTTTTTTTTTTTTTTTTTTGTAAAAACTTAGCAGCAGCAACAATAACTTTTTTATTGATTTCCAACGCTTTAATTTATGTATATTGTCATTTGGCGAATATAAAATTATGAAATATAAAAATAACGGTCTTTTGTTGTTGCTGTTTTTTTTCGATAAAATTAAATGTTCTCTGACAAAGTGGGGGAGAAAAAAAGAAAAGAAAAAGTTTACTTTGTTTTGCTGCGTAAATTAACAATAAACGTTAATCATGAACAAGGAAAAGTCTCATTGATATAGGGGTTCAGTTTTCTTGCTAAAGAGAATTTTGGAAAAGTTGTGAGGGAAAATTGGCGAAGAAGGGATTGCAACATTCAAGCAAAAAAATCGAGTAAAAAAGTTGTAGGTTCGGCCGGGCCGAATTTTGAATTCCCTCCACCATTTGGCACGAATTTGGCAATTCTCAGAAGCAATAAAATCCGTTAAAAATTCTGTTAAAATCTTAAAAATACCGAATGTAGCTTTTATATTAGGGTCTATACTTGGACCTGGATAGGTAACTTCTGTCATAAGCCATTACAATACTCAAATGCGAAATTTAAAAAAAAATCAGTGAATAATGTAGCTAAAATCATCAAAATACCGAATATCAGGAGGTACCGTTACATGGGGGCTATACGAAGACGTGGACCTGCATAGCTCATTTTCTGTCTTAGGATGTAGCATCCATTACGAACTTCAAATACCAAAATTGAAACAATTCCGGTAAATAAGGTCGCAAAAATCATTAAAATACCGAATATCGAGAGGTACCGCTATATAGGGCTATACAAAAGCGTGGATCTATACATACAATATTTCGCCAACGGAGCTAGAACTCATTATGACCAACAAATTCCAATTTTAGACAAATCCGTGATAAAATGTGACAAAAACCATCAAAATACGGAATATCGGAAGATACCGTTATATGGAGGCTATACCAAAGCGTGGACATATACATACAATGTTTCGCCGCACGAATTAGGACCCATTATTACCTTCAAATATCAATTTTCAGACAAATCCGTGAAAATTGTGGTAAAAATCATCAAAATACCGAATATCGGCAGGTACCGTTGTATGGGGGCTATACCAAAAAGTGGACCTATATGGCCTATTTTCAATATCAAAAGTCTTGCAGACATAATATACATTTGAGTACAATTTTATCAATATACGTCATTTCGTTCGGAAGTTAGAGTGATTGCCACAGAAGGACACACGGACGGACATCTCTAAATCGATATAGAATTTTATGCTGATCAAGAATATATATACTTTGTGGGGTCTAAAATGTATATTTCGAGGTATTACAAACGGAGTGACAAACTTAATATACCCTCCGTACTATGGTGGAGGGTATAAAAAATCTAAGAGGAAAGCTGTTTTATAATCAACCAGAAATTGTCTTTTTTCTAAATTTTAAAATCGCAATCTGGCAACTTTTTACCTCTCAAATACTTCTCCTGTTTACATTAATTTTATTTTGTAAAAAGAAATGGTAATCGTGCTTCAAATCCTCTTCACAAAACCATACTTTCTGTTGACAACTCATTTTGAAGAAGACAAGATTTTTCCTGTTAGCCAACTTCAATGATAAAGTTTTCCTCCAATGATTTTTTTCTTCTACAACAACAAGAAGAACAACAACAGCAATCGTTTACTTAACTTCAAGACAAGTGAAAAACAGACATTAAATTATGCACAAATGAGTTGGCATTTTTCAAATAAAAATTGATTGGAAAACATTTCGACGATGTAACTGCAGCTACATCGTGTGCTGACTACGGTGGAGTCATTTAGCCAACAGCAAAGCAATTGCAATGACAATTCAGAAGCAGCAACAACAACATCCTAGGAATCCAATAACAAATGAATGCATTTGACAATGACATCTTTAGCTACAATAAATTCACAAAAACTCCAAGTAATCAATGCTAAGATGACGTTGCTCCGCAAGGCAACGTCAATACCCCAGAAACCAAAGTACACCATAAAATCGACTCATTACACATGTAAACGCTGTCTCATCATTAGGTTGCAGCAGATCAGCCAAACCACCCGTAACAACATTTGCTGTTTTGCTCATTGACATTTCGGATACCACTTCAAACATCAGTGGACCAGAAACTCAGTCATGCAATTTGGGTGGGAGAGAAAAAGAAAGAGAGGGAGAGAGGGATAGAGACATACCTGAAGACTTCCGACCAGTTGGGATGTGTTTGGCTGGCACGTCCTGGACGTGAGGCATGCAGACGACAGGGTTCTTCTAAAATGCAGGCACGTTGACCAAACTCCCTTTGGATTTCCTTTTGGGCATATTCTGCATCGTAAGCCAAATGGGCAGTGTCACGTTTGCTGCGGGCCCGGTAAGTATCTGGAAAGATAAATAAATAAAAAATTAACAATTTGTGATAAGCATTATTAGTTATATCAAGTCCGGCTTGAAATTTGTTTGGTATTACAAAAATATCTCACGCTTTGTTGTGTCATCTGACGTATCATACCCTAAAATATGCTTCAAGCCATAGCCCATAGCTTTTTTTTATTTTTTGTTTATTTTCTTCATATCGCCTCTTTTTGGTATTTCCCCAATACCATCTCTTGTTGGATTTGTATTTCATATGGCCTTGACCCATTTTCTTTATATCTTTGGACAGGTTTCTTTAGCAAGCCCCCGAATGGTTGGTATATTGGTTCGATAACACATACACACATACGTGCTGTTGTTAACATGGATGGTCGCATGGATGGCTAAATGAATGAATGATAGCTTCAAATCAAACACAAACCACGTTTTTTCTTCTTCGTACACCAACAATGGGGAGCTACTGGATTCCAGTACTTATATGCATATGAGCCACATGTCATGTACGTGCCTTGACTCAAGTTTAAGAAAGACCTTTTGTCATCCGCGCCACCACAACCACTAACAGCCATATGGCCAAGAGAGCGAAAAACAGAAGCGATCACAACGGCAGTTAACCCAGTCAGCCAATTCACCTGTCAGTTGCTGAACTAAATTCATGGTAAATTCAATGAAAAAGGGCTTTTAATTTGATTTACAAGCGGTTTTTTTTTAGGTTTTGCTGAGGGCATATCGAAGTACTGTTTAATTGGGTTAGCGTTACAAATGTCAAGTACTGGGGAATTCCCAATATGGAAGGGTTAAGTTTTCCTTTTTTGGATGAATAAAATATGTGTTTTGAGGGCAATTGTAAATATGGTGGGAAAGGTTGTAATTTAATAAAATAAAGTTTTTTTTCGCAGTGTTTGGGAACTCATGAGCGAGGGGAGTGTTTAGGGACTATTTAGCTTTATTTTTTGAATGTGTGATAAAAAAGTGATATTATGAAATTATATATTTGAAAAATAGTCATACGGGCAGAGAGAAAGTTCATTGAACTCAAACGAGTTTAATAAAATGTTACAGAAAAATAATTTATCCCCTGTGAAAGTATTAGACCGTAATGAGCCAAATAATCTATCAAAGGCAGACCAATTTGGTTAGTATAAGATGGTTTTGATGAAACGCCATCTAGTTGTGGAATTTTACTAACCTGTTTACCATTTCCAAAGGATCTAATTTTGCTGTTCCGCAATTTAAAATCAAGGGAGCAATGCTATATTTTTTTAAAATTTGAGTCTGAATTTATTACTACTGCCAACACATAGGACACCATCCTTGATTGATCTCAATCCAGTCACATTGGACATTTCGAAAATGAAGTTATGACCCACAAAGATTTGGGACACACTTGCGTTTAATAGCCCGAGGTAATATAAACCAGCTACATCACTGTTTATCATTGCGCACGCACGACTTTTTGAATACTTTGTACCAAAGTTTCCATTGAATTTAGTGACATTTGATGGGACTCGTACTCAACACATTTTAATAATATGCTGATTTTTGAGTAACGCCATCTAGTTTTGAGATCTTTATTGCTTGTTTTTGATCCGGGACAAGAGAATTTTAAACTAGTCTGTTATACCATTTAACAGATTGATGTTGTCTAGACAAATAATGACATAGACTAAAAAAATAAAAATCTTTTCAATAGATGTCGTTCTTGCTGCTGGAGAGCTCAGGACAATTCACCCAATTCCCTGTACACACAAAATAACAATTATTCTGATGATCTATAAATATTAAACCATTAAAAACAATGCAACGATATGTTGTACGTTTACATCATCCAGCTAAGTCGTGAAATATAAAAATATGCAACCCAAATAGTATTACAATTAATAAAATTATTCTGCCCTCCCGGCCGATTTAACCATGGTGACATCTGCCCATGGTGACATCTGCCAATAGATGAGATTTCAGATCATCGGTATGAATGAAAAAAATTATCAGGGGGTTCTTAAGGTAGGAGAGAATTTGTTTCCCTTCTTAAACCCTATATGTTTACTGATTTGGTTTAAGTCTTTACTAATTTAGCAAATTATTCTCTGATATGTCGATTTAATAGAAGCGGCATCTAGTTTTCAGATTTATATAGTTACCGAATTTTCGTACATACCGGATTTCTCTTTAGCTCGATTCAGTAACTCGTTTTGATAGTAAAACTATTGATAGTGAAATATGTGAAATTCGCCCCGAGGGAAATTCTTTGCCCAGGATGAAAGTATAAATATGAAAACTAGATGGCAGCTCTTCAGTATCGAGATATCAATCAGCCGGAAATCATGTTGCTATTTGATTCTAGACAATATGATGTCTAGAGTTATATTATCATTGGTTTGTGTCTAAACTAATTGAAAATCTCATTGTTTAATAGATGGCGCTATTGATAATCAGATTGATGATTTTCATAGCTGATTTTAAGATGATTTAAAAATTCATTACGCTATTTAATTCATCGCGATAAAATTGTGTACAAAACGACTCTTTTACATTTTTACTTAGCATTGTTAGAGCATGCTTTTAGGCGTTTCATAGTAGCACAAAATCAGTATAGTACAGTTTAGTGTTTAATCGTAATTTAAAACTTGGTGAGAGCACTCGAATGTATGATAATAATAAATGTAAATGTGGAAAGTGTTAACTAGGTTCTACAATTTATATACATTGGTTTAATTCTCAACTAATTAAATATTTTCTAGTAAATGGATGAAAAGGAATGCCATCTAGTTTTGAAGTTTGTATAAACTATTTTTTGTTTCCTGGACCTTCGAGGGAAAATGCTTTACAGAAGGAAATTCACACTTTAATATTTTTGAACTGTTGCTTTTTAATTGGCAATAAACCAACCGACCAATATTATTAATATTTTTTTTTAATTTTTTTTCAGTATGTTATTGTCATCATCCAATAGCTAGTATGGAAATGATGTTATTTTTTACAGTTGAATTAAAGATGATCTGAATAAATAAAAAAAAAGTTGTTCTTCCTTCCCCTTGGATGATATATAATATTTCCGAATTGGTTTGAACCGTAGCTAATTTAGAGTATCCTCATAGGCTGATATATTCATTTTGGAGTGCCATCTTATTTTGAGATTATTACTGAATCGTAATCGAGCTTTAGAGGCAAAATACTTCTATGGATAGTTTCTTTTTTAAATTTAAATGGTTTAAGAATGTGATAAATTAGATTATCATCCAGTAGATGGCACTGCTGAATATCCAAATGATATTCTTATTTACAGTTCAATTGAGGATGATCTCAGTAAATATTCTTGTAAACCTTTAGGAAGAAAATTTGTTTTTTCTTCTCCTTAGGTGATATATAATTTTCCCGAATCGTCTTGAGTTAATTATCTCCTGCATCTAATTGGGTAATAAATATTAAGAGATATATCTGGGAATGCCATCTATTTTTGAAATTATTAGTTATATCTAGTTATATAGTTCTCTTAGTGTTTTTGTTTCTAATTTTAAATATTTTTCCTATTAAGAGAAAGTTAACTGACTAAAAATTAATGATTTAAGATTGTGATAAACTAGAGTATCATCTCTAGGTCATATATAATTTTTCCGAAACGGTTTGAGTGAATTATCTTCAGAATTGGGTGATATATTATGGTATATTTTTGGGAATGGAATCGAATTTAAGGGATTCTCTTAGGTATTTTTTTTTTAATTTAAATAGTTTTCCTATAAAAAAGCAGCCAACTGACTAAAAATTAGTGATTTGAGAATGTGATAAATAAGATTATCAACATCCAGTAGATGGCACTGTTGAACACCCAATTGGCGTCCTTCTTTATAGTTGATTTGAGGATGGTCTAAATATACTTGATAGCGAATCTTATGTACGAAATTAAGTTTTTCTTCTCCTTAAGTTTCATATGTTAATGTGTATTAGTTTTAGAAGTTTGAGAAGTTACTTATTTATAATTGATATCTTTAGTATCTGATTTGCTGATACATTGATTTGGGAGAGCCATCTAGTTTTCAGATTATTGCTAAAATGTAATCGAATTTTAAGGCAAAGTAGTATCTATGGATAACATTACTTACTTTTAATAGTTTTGCTATTGGGAATAAACCAACTCACTAATACGCAATTCGACAATGTAATAATGTAAATTGTCATTAGTTGGCGCTCATCCTACAGTTGATTTGAAGATGATCCAAATAAAAATGCTAGAAAATCTTAAGGAAGTAACGATGCCCTTTATTTTTCTTGAGTACTATAAACATATCCAAGTTGGTTTCAGCCATAACTAATTCAGAGTTGGTTATCTCTAATATCGTTGGATGATATATTTATGTTGGAGTGCCATCTACTTTTGAGATTGTTTCTAAATCGTAATCTAGTTTTAGGCGCAAAAATTATCCTCTAAGTTAAAACAGTTTTGCTGTGAATAATAACTCAACCGACAAGTAATTAATGATTTGATAATGCAATAAATATGATTGTCATTATCCATTAGATGGCACTTCTGATCACCCAATTTTTTTTACTTCTTTACACTTGATATAAAGATGATCCAAATACATTATGCTGGGGGATTCGAAGAAAGACAATTTGTCTCTTTTTCTCCTTGAGTTTTACAAATTCACGTGTATTGTTTTGAACCTTTGCTAACTTAGAATTTATATTCCCAGCCGGTAGATGGCGTCTTTTCGTAAATAATGATAATGAAATGTTGTATTGAATGTTCAAATTCTGCTACCGTCTAAATGAGGCGTCAGAATTCTTTGACCAGAGACAATACAAAAATGTTTTTGAGAATCAAGAATAGTAAAATTACAATGACTAATGTATAATTTTTAAACAATTAAATATTTAAAAATGTTTATACATTTAATCGCACGTTTTTCGTTTTTAGGAAAGGTTCTTCTGCACCTATTGTCTTAAATAGCACAATACTTGAATGGCTATGACCTCTCAAGTCACACTCACAACATTTTTTATTTTATTTATTTAGAGTCAATTCCTTCCAGAAACAACAAAAAACGGCCAATGGCTTCCCAAACAACTTTGTTTTCAATCCAATTCAAACGAATTGTATTTAATATTGTGCAAGCATTCCAATCATTGATTAAAATGTAAATTAATTTAATATATATTTATTCATATATAGTCCACTTCTCTTCGTAGCAGCAATTCTATTGTTTTGGTCAAGGAACCTTTGCTTGTCTGTCAGTCTGGGCGATTACAAAATTACAAAAAATTTCCGCTTCGTATTTTGAACTTTCACTTTGAATCTTTTTCTAATTAGCATTGCCATAAAATAAATTGTTATTTTGTTTGTTTTAAATTTAAAAATTATTTTTTTTTTAAGAATTCTAGGGGTCAAAGAATTTATGCAGCCTCGGGACAATATTTCCGGATTATCAATAATTTTATTGTTTTTTTTTTTTTTCAAAGGATTTTTAGAGTTTACTTTTTTTATCCCAGTTTCCTTGACTTACTTGGATTTAAAGAGTACGCCAACTTCTTGGCAAACTGCGAGAGGCGTACGGATGCCACAATAACCGGAAAACCAATCAGCTGTACGGGTATTTCAAACAAAGGCTCATTACTTTGGGCCATTACACCATTTTCCAGCAATCCCTCCAGCAGAACAAACAACACATAGAGGGTGGGTATGAAGGTTAAATTTAAAACAAATTTCAATTTCATTTTTGCTAAAAGTCTTTTTAAATTCTTTTTTTAAGTTTTCAAATAAAGTCCTTTGCAAAATTCCGACAAATATTTTTTTGTTTGATTTAGATTTTCGCTCAAGGGACCACCGCTTTTAAGCAACGTATTAAAGCAACTGATTACAAGCTTCGCTTGAAAACACCAACAAACTTGGCCTAAAAGTTTTACAGCCAAGACATACCAAAAACATAAAAACAACAACAACATCACTGCCAACATAAAAAAGAGCCAAGCCAAAAATTTACCAACAAAAGACAAGCTGCGCCAGACCGACAACTAAATAAGAGAGGATGATGACAAACGGCATGACGTTTGGTGAACAAGGCATTGTTGTTGTTGCATTGGATGGTTGAGTGGCTGGCTGCCTGGCTGGGTGGCTGACTGACTGAAAACCTTAAAGGCCGCTCAAAAACCATAAACAAATATTGTCAGGCCAAAAACAACAACCACACCAAAAAAAAAATAATTCGAAAATATTTGTATAGCAAAAAAATCACTAAGCGCCAAAAATAATATTCAACAAAATTACTGCTGGCCAGCTAAATGTATTTATTGGCAATGATTACTTAACTCTCTTTTGGCCAAATATTGGCCAAGTTTTGTTGGTGTTGCTGCTGCTGCCGGCTTAACTGTTTGCTTGCATTCATACCATATGGAAGTTGCTTCCATGCACCCAACTATCTACAGACCTCCATGAGGAAGGCAAAAGACGGCACAAAAAAGTCATGCAATTTAAAATGGTTTTAAGGCGAAAAACCCAGAGCGAATTCAAGCAACATTTACCTATTCTCAATGCTCTACAAAGGGTAACTTCGTTCAAAAGTTTTTCTTTAAATCTCAGAATAATCATTTTTTAGCGTCGTCGAGGCGCAATTACCAGATGTACATGCGGTTTTGCATGGAAAATACATATCACCCAAATTTGCCTTTTTTTCTCCCATATGATTACTCACCCCATCTCTTCCTAAGTGCTTTTCAATCAAACAGGTGAAAGTACGTTTTTTGTTTTGCTCTGCTCTGCTCAATGTAACGGACCTACCCCACATCATCACAAAAAACAAAACCAACTCAAACCCACAAATGGTGGCTCCAAACCAAATGTTGTCGGACCACATTGGAATTCATGTGGCGTACAGCGGCATGGCGGCTAGCAATTTGCTATTGTCGGCAGCGGCAAGCTCGCTCGGTACGTCGATAGGTAGTTATTTGACTGCATTATTATGAAATTTATTTTGGGTTTTTGCATTAGCGTTACAAAACTATGGTCACTTAAGGTTATGTTGCCTTATTTAGATCAAAAAAAAACCAAAGGTAAACAGTTATTGATATGCAGCGGGGGAAGGAGCCCTAACGAGAAAATATAAAGAAAGCAACATTAAAAAAAATATGTACAAGACCGATTCCCTAATTAAGTTACCTTTATATACCCAGAACCATAGTTTCAAAATAGTCCCAGAACCCATTTTCTATCGAAGACCCGTTTTTGCAATGAAGATCTAGAACTTTTGAAATTAAAGTGTAACTTTTATAATCCAGAGTCTTTAAAGCATTCTTCAATAAGACAATGAACAAAAATATTCTTAAAAAACTAAACAAATCAGTTTTTTTTAGTATCTCCTTATTTCATAGAAGACTCAAGGACGCTTTCAGAGAAAATACAAAGACCTTCTATAATGAGATACCCTCTTTAAAGGACTCCTTTAGAAAAAATATTCCAAGAAATTACTTTTTAAAAACTCAAGGATCCTTCTACAAAATATAGAAAGACCTAATTTCACAGAAGAACCTCCGCCAGGCCAAGAGATCTCCTTTATGGCAGGGCTAGAGACCTCCTCTTAACGAAGACCCTGAGGAATCTTTTACCAAAGATAGGCATATCAGAACTCGTTTTATAGAAGTCTCAGAGCTCTTCTACAAAAGATTCCCAGGACTTATTTTAAGAAGTTTCAGTAGACTCTTCTATAAAATATTCCAAAATCATACTTGAAAGAAGATCCTCACGACATTTTGAAAAAATCCAGGTCCTTCCTTAATTATATGCCTAAAGGTCTTCTTTTATGAAAGATCCAGAAGAATTTTCCACAGCTGATTGAAAAAAATCCAAGACCTTATTTCTCAAAAGACTATCGGACTCTTCTACAGAAGATAGGTATGAATTTTTATCCAAAGGACCCTCTCTACCCTTTTATTAAAAATCACAAGACCCCATTTTATAGATGGCCCAAAGATCTTTCTTGTGTTACAGCTGATACATTTAATAGAAGACATCTGTATACGGCCTCGACGTCCTACTTTAGAAAATCCAGAACTATTCCTCCAAAAAAGGCCAAGAGAACTTTTATAGAATATTCCCAGATCGTTTTCCCTAGAAGGCAGCGGAAATATCCCATAGAAGAGGAAAACAATTTTCCAACAGAGGTCCAAAAAATATATTTCCATTCAAATCAAGACCAAAGTACCTCCTTAATGGAAGAAATCGTAAAGTTTTGCTCTTGTATAGAAGAAGGGTCTGAAATCAGGTCTGCCTCTCTTCTAAAAAAGCCTTAGAGGTATTCTTCCAAGAAAACCAGAATTTATCTTCAACACGTTTTCTTAAATGAAGTACAGATAGCAGATCGGCGCACTTATCTAACAAAGACCTAGAGGTCTCCACTATGGAAAACGTGGACGTCTTGTCTATGGAAGTCCTAAACGTACCCAAGTATTCTCTTTGTATTGAAAGCTTCGAGGATTTTACTTTAAAAAAACCTAGGAGTCTTTTAAGTGAAGCCCTAGAGATATCTTCTATGGAAAACCTGAAAATTGTTTTTAAGGAATTCGCAGAGGTCTTCTTTACAGAAAACCGGTAAAGACTCTCTATCGATGACTTAAAGATCTTCTCTGCTGAATTTTGGATGTAGTTTTTCTTGAAAGCTTCGAGAAATTGACCTAGAGGGGTATTTATAGAATACCTGGGGTCTTCTCTATGCAAAATTAGGTAAGAGATTTTCCCTATTGTAAGCTTTGAGGCATGCAGGCATTCTGTAAGAACACCTGGTTGTCTTTCCCATTTAATCTCTATCTCTATGGATCTTCTAGTGATTTTCTCTATGAGAAACTTATTTCTTTTTACGCCGGGGCGCATGAACGACTTAAAGGTCTTCTCTGCAGAAGACATAGAAGTATTTTCTATGAAAGACTTGGTAGTCCTCCTTATAGAATATAAATTGGTCTTATTTTTTTAATCCATTGCTGTATTCACTAAATCCTTTCATAGAAAGGAACGTTCACTTTGGAGGACCTAGACAGACGCCTATCCACAAGATATCTAATGTTATTTTCTATACATGATGAAGTCTACATAAATGATTTAGAGATGTTTTTTGAAGAAGCCATCTTTCGGGTAGACATAGATGTCTGGTCTATAGAAAATATATAGAGATCTGCCTAATAAAATGGATTTTCAACGAAGTGCCTCTCTATAGAATACCTAGTTGCATAGAATACCCTATAAAATGCAGTAATGCTCTACAAATTAGACCTGTAAATATTCTCCATAGCCTTTAGATGGCCTGAGTTCAAAGGAGATCAAATATTCCCTTCCTTGGGATTTGGTCCTCCTCTCTATGATAGGGTATACTTCCCTATTCGAATGGTTATGTCTATTTCAAGAGTCTTAATAACATCTCCTACGTACATTTTTACATATTTGGACCTGGAATTCGCTATCATTGTTAATATTGTTGTAATTTGTTGTTGTAGTTGTTTTCCTCTTGGCCCGCTTAACACAAATTTCCGCATATTTGGCAAGTAACTTGTCGCCGAAACTACTGGATATTGTAAGTCATGCCAAGACTTACAACAATTACAACAACTTGCATGCGAACCGATAGACCAAAATAGCTGAACAAAAAACCACAATAAAAACAACAACAACAATGAACAATTACGTGAATTTGCTGCCACATCAAAGTCACACCACAAACGATAGCATCAGAAGAAAATAAAATCGAAACTAGGCAAACCACAAACCGACTGCAAGTTGTAACAAATTTGAAAAACTAAGGCAATGGTGCAACATGGCACGCCAACAGACAACAGCAACACCAGCCACAGCCACAGCAGGACCAGCCGGCAAAACCTTCTTCATCATCACATAAATAATAATACCTGTAATCGGTCAAAATCGGCAACAGCACCAAGAAAAACCAGTTTGGTTTAATGGAAAACCAAGACAGCCAGAGATACAACTTTTGGCCGCAATGAACAACGGCACACAACACACCACGCCAACTATGGATCAAGCAAATAGCTTGGACTTTGGTGTGCAATTTGTTACATAACACAAGCTATTTTACCAATACATTGGCAAAACAAAATGGTGATCCGACCATCAGCTGAGTGGGGATATTGAACGGCGACGACGACGCCATCAAAGTTTTGCAGACATTGACTAAGCTTTAAAAGTAATGTCAGTCTATGGCCACCACCACCTCTAAGCTCTTGCTGGCTGGCTGGCTGACTGGCTACGTGATCATTCCACGGTAGTCAGTAATGGGGTATTGGTGGCCGCATTATAACTGTAAACTTCCTTGAAGAGCAAATCACAAGCGTTTTTTTAATTAACAATAGTTTGCAATGAAACGAAACCAGCGACTGGAAAAATATTTAATAATTATTGTTGTTAAGTAAATAAATCTCTATCTCGTTGAAGTGAAAGATAAATAGCTGGATGTTGTTATTGTTGTATTTGTTTTACAGAGGGGACAATTGTAAAACAAACCGGCAGTAATGTGTAAATAGTAAAGTTAATAATATATATTAATAATAAATATTAACTCGCATAAGTCACAAAGTGGTTTCAATCAAATTGATTAATTGAAAGCCCCCAACCCTGTATGCCGATGTGAAAGTAATAGCATATTGACATTGATTTTACTAGTGTAACTCGAACATTACTTTCAATGGTTTGGGATAATAAATAATAGCAACAATAAGTATTAGCAACAATAAACATTAGTATGGCTTCGATCAGGGATGACCACAAGGAGGGTAGGAGCAATGTGAATAGTGAGAAGAAATTTTATTCTTGTTTCAACCATATAAGGGTACCTCCATGTATTCCGTATTTTGATTATTTTATCTACATTTCTCATTTCCACACAAGAAGTTTTTTCTAAACACTTTACCTGGAAGAGAATTGTCTATACAGGTCCACGACATTGTATAGCCTCTATATATAGGTACTCCTCGATATTCGGTATTTTTATGATTTTATGACATTTCGATCGGAATTGTTT